CTCTCTCTCTCTCTCTCTCTCTCTCTCTCTCTCTCTCTCTCTCTCTCCTATCTGCATTTGTAGGAAATGCAAATAATTTTTACACTTCCTCTTCACGGAAGAGACCACCACCTTCTCGCGGTTTCCGTTGAGCAACAATATGTACGTTGCCCATTTATTTATGACAGATATACAATAATGTTGCAAACATTATATAATAATTTTTCTTTTATGTTATTACATGTATTTATTATACTGTTAGCAAAGTAATTATACTATCAAAATAATTTTTTCAAAACAAATAATATAAATTTAATTTAATTTTACTTTTCTTATGTTACTAATAATTTATTTTCTAAATTAATAACATGTTTTTTTTTAGAAAAACGCGTACATATTGGCCAAGAGTGGATTTTTATTATTTACGCTTTTTCTGTTTATTTCTTTACTTAATTCATCTTTTATTTACAGAATAAATTATATTTTCACTAATTTATTTAATTGATAAATTTTTTTATTTTAATGAACTTTATGCTTTTAATTGTGCAATAATTAAGAGACACGATAGTATTCCGCGCCTACAATGGGAAAAGTTATTTTATTATCATCTGTATTATCATTATTAATATATATTTTACAATATTTTATTATCATCTGAGGAGATACGCGAGATACAATAGACGCGCGAGATAAGTCGGCAACCTAATGCCACGACGCCTACGGTCTACAGCGGCGCTCGAGCCGCTCGAGGAAGAAAGAGACGGCAGATATGTATGTCTGCGCTCTTCTAATCGTCCGAAGCCGGCCGAGCTATCCCCTCCACGCGTGCTGGCAGCGGGCAGAGGCTCGAAATTGGCATCTCTGGTGGAAGGTGTTAACTAATTATTTTTTTTATTTTTTGTGTAACTCAGACCACAGCGTCTGAGCCATCTTTAATGCGTCAAAAACATACAATCTGACCTGAGAAACGATGAGCGGTGTATAAATAAGAAGTTTTTTTGAGTTCGTGTACGCGAGAGGCAATTATATCAATCGCCGTCCTTTTGATGAATCGCCCGTAAGCCGGTAAGACACGTGGCGGTCGGCACTCGCGCACGTGTGAGCTTGATCGGTCGGGTTGAGGCACCAGAGCTGATGAGTAGTCTCTTTCACACTTTAGAATGTAATCTAGGCAGCGTGGTAACTGCGAGATGCACTTCTAAGCGGAGTCATAACGAGAAACGTAAAGAGCACGCGTTATACGTCTCGTCACTGAGCTGCCATATTGTACTCTCTCTTTCTATCGCGAAGAAGACGTTGGCGATGAGCGCGCCCGTGCTTGCACAAGCTGCCGCGTCGCTCTGGCGTCGATACCCGATCAATGCTGCCATCTGTTCGGACGGCGCAACGTGAACAGAATCTCGAACAGGTAACATTAACAAAAACATGAATGATTTATATACATTTTCACTTAAAGTTTGTATTGCTAATTTAACATTCATTTTATTATTTTGAAAATTTATATGTTTGCTACTGAGTTTGTTAGCAGCTTTTAAACTTTCTTTTTCTTTCAATTCGTGAAGATTAACTATATGACTCCATTCAATTTTTTTACCATTTGATGTTTGTAAAATCTTTTTGTCTCCTATAGCATTTCTCACTAATTTGATCATATGACAAAAGTCGAAAAACACATAACATTTTTCTGATGTAACAGGATTTGTAAAATATGGTTTAAAATCACTTTCATATGTAAAATTTGCACCCAAAGCAGTACACATGCTGATGTTACTTGGAGCACCATCAAAAGTAATAGAAAATACCTTACAATTTATTTTATGTAATTTTTCGAATGCAATCGTTAACAGATTCGAGCGTTCTGTGCCATTTAAGAATCTTATTAAAAAATATCCAATTGGGACTTCCAACTATCATTTAGAGATACTGCCATAAACACTAAAGCATTTTTAGCTGTAAAAGCAGATTTATTTTCATTATTTTCTTCATTTTTTAACGTACCAAAATCAATACCACCATGAAATTTTTTTTAATAAAAAATCAGCTTTTCTCTTATTGCCATTTCATCTATAACTAAGTTAATAATAAGAGGTTTAGAATTATTATTATTATGCAATGCAATGGCATTTAATGCTTCATCCGTGAAACCTGGAGATCCATTGACTACACGATACCAATTCCGTATCGTCGAAGGATTTGGTAATAAGTTATTCCACGTTTTTCGTACATAATTATATGCTTTGGGTGAATAGAAGTGCAACGTTAATGCAAAACTACGTATTTCAGGAGAATAACTACCACCTTTTTTTAATTTTCTTGTTACTATTGCCTTTACAGTTTCTGGTAATATATTCTAAAAAGAATAAAAAAGAAAAATAAGCATATATTTGACTCAGCATTGTACATTGTATATATCTTATTTCATTTTTTTAAATTAAATTTAATCAATACATAATACAATTTGTTTAATTTTGTATTATGTATAATCCACTTTTAAAAAAGGCGTGTTAACTGAGTGAATTGCGTTTGTATCGAAATTATTGTTGCCTCTTTTCCGCGATGCCGATTGGTTATCTCGATGCGTTGTGTGCGAGTTATTACTTCGTATCGAATGTCGTCTATATCGTTTTAACCTCACGTCACGTGTCAATGTGGGATCTAATAAAAAAAATGTGTATCGTGAGGGATGACGCATGACGCGTGGTTAGCGCGAGTGATTTGTAACGGAAAGCTCCGTAACGGAGAAAAAACTATGGGAGGGTAGGGCGGAGAGAAAAGGGAGGAGAGAGAGTAGGAAAAAAGGGAGTGTGGTGAGGCTGAGGGGAGGAGGAAAAGGAGTCAAAGAGAGTAAAGTAGGGAA